AAATTTCGGATGCTCGTGTGTCTCTGCACTCATGTTTTATTGTACTCCGGTTATGTTTTCTGGCCTAGTTAAACAAAATTTAGAAGTCTTACTCTATAGTTGAACCATTATTGGTGGCGTTTCATCTGTTGCATCTTTCATTTCATCGCACGCCTGTTTGCGCTTGCTTTGCGGACATTGACCACCATTTGCACACCAAATACACACACTATCGTTCCACACACACACACACACACACACACACACACACACACACACACACACACACACACACACAGGTCCTTTTCGCATTCATGTCTCACTACACTTTTTTCACATCAAGCTTTAGCCCAAACCCGCAATGCTTTAGCCACGACCCGTAGTCCTTGGGCCTCGACGCAAAACCTTTAGTCACGCCGCGGTAGGCGAGTCAAATTGTATTATATAGTATTGCAACGACTTGTGCAGGCAACTGTCTACATTTCAGTAAAAAAACAATATGTTCTCCGTCACAATGAGATAGAAAAATGAAATGAAAATTTATATACAATAATGATAAAACTTAAACAGGAGCTCATCTTTGTACGTTTAAAATTAGTTCGTTTCGGATCTTCACCGTGTCAGTGATAATACAAGCCAGATAGGGAATCGTTAAGTTGTGATAAACATTTATGCGGGAGGGCAAGTAGCGAAAATTGGATCGGGTAGTAGTGTGAGAACGACCTACAGGTCAATCGGGATTGAGCGGATGATTGGGGTGGCTTAGTATCTCATGGGCGAAATTCTCACATGAAGTAATAAGAAAATCACACCGTTTCTTGATTGGAGTATTTAGAGGAACAAGAGAAACGTGGCTGATAATTACCAAACGACGACGATCAAAAAGTATCGGGATATTCTAAAGTCAATGGATGTTGAAGAAATTTATGTTCTATACATGTTGTGCATATCAAACAACGGACCGTTTGTGTCACACCTGAGAGTTTTACTCACAGGAGTATCGAATGTTATACGGAAACATTGAAGCTGTACGAGATGTGTCAAATGGTTTGACAATAGGTACACGTCAGTTAAACACTCTTCAGTCAACGTGTGGTGCAGCGTGAGACCGCCACACCTTCTCATTTACTAACCAAGCTTTGCATCATCAACATTAGTAGAAAATAAATTTCTAAACATCCGTTCACTTCAAAATATTCCGATACTTCTTTGATCTGACTCGTCTGCTGCGGCGTGATTGAAGTTCGTGCATCGAGGCTTAAGGACTATGGGGCGTGGCTAAAATATTTTGGGTTTTGGATAAAAGATTACGGGTCGAACCTAAAGCCAAATGGGAAAAGGTGTAGGTATCTGTCTCCAGATTATGGACTTCTATCTTTCAATGTTCCCCCGGAGGGAGGGGGGGGGGGAAGAGAGATTTTTGACGCTACCTTCCGTACACGCAGGATCAATAAACTGGTTCTTAACTGAATGGCCCCCACCCCACCCCACCCCACCACAGATTATAGGTTTTATCTCTTGGTGTGTGATCAACGATATAGCCGTAAACCAATTTTTTTGCATCACAAAGAAAAGGGGAAAGAGAGGAAACCTGACGAATAGCATGTTTAGTAGTGAAGGCGGGCGGAACAGAATTATAAGCCCGAGCTCGATATCAACTATTCGACGTAAAACAGAACCAAAATCCCCAAACATGCCACCCTAGGAAAGTTAATACCAGAGTGCCACATAATCGATTAGATCGATTCCTTTCCAGGTGTCCAGTCATGTCTTCATCCTAAAGACGTGATGTGAACACGTGACAGATAAACGTGTCTCTAGGTCAACTCATTATGGTGCGTAACCGACGCAACTGTTCGGTTCGCACGAACTCAAGTGATGCTTTAAATACATCATTGATCGACCGATATTCATCCCATGTCAACATAACAATCAAAATCATTCACGAAGCAGTTTTGGTTTTCAGTTTACAAAACCATTGATCATACATTGTGGCGCGGTGGTCTTATTTACTGTTTTTTCCACCACTTTTGATCATTGAGTTTTGGAAAGATTAGTATGCTAAAAGCAGTATCAAGGTAAACACAGAGAATCCAGGCAGACTAAGGTTGCCAAGATGTGAAGAAGATGAATGAGCGGCACTGTTTAGGACTCTCAGTTTTTTCAACCATCGACTACACTGATTCTCAGCTCCCTATCTAGGAAATCCGATGCATACAATATGACCAAGTTACTTNCAACACCAGCCACGGTGTTCGTTAAGGATGCCCTCTCTCACCGTTTCTGTTCAATTTTGTCGTAAACGAAATACTGGAGGACGCAATTAGTGGTCTCCAAAACGTAGGCATTGAATGGGCAGCTGGTGAGAAGCTGTGCGATTTGGAGTACACCGATGACATCGCCTGACTTTTCGAATGTATGGAGGATGCGCAAAGCATACTTGATAGACTAACAAGTGCTGCTGCCACATTCGGTATGTGCTTTGCACATCCTCTGAAACTAAATGACCAGGAGTTAATTACAGTGGATTACTTTTCCTACTTAGGTAGCTGCGTGACCAGTGACGGTAGGGCAACAAAAGACAAAGCCGCTCGCATTTCCAAGGCTCGAGCAACAAACGCAGGAGTGAAACACGTTTGGCGTAGACGTCACGTTTCACTGAAGTTAAAAGGTCGTGTATATTGTGCTAGCGTTCGTTCACTTTGGCTTTATGGTTATGAGACCTTGAATTCGCGACTAGAAGATATCCATCGACCAGAAGTTTTCGACTACCAGTGTTTACGTAATTTAGCCTACGTGGGATGGAGCAAACGGGTTAATAATCTGGAGGAAAGATGTCGTGTGTTTGGGAGTCCATCAAGTATAAACCTGCTAGCACACCGAATTCAGATTAGTAGACTTTGCTGGATAGGGCACGTATTACGTGCGCCCAGCCATCGTCTGTCGCTCCGCACTTTATTTGCTGTAGCCACTGCGGGTTGGAGGAAACCACGTAAAGGTCAGCAAATGACGTGGAGACGAGGCATGAAGAAATGGTCAGAGCCATTAGGTAGAGTGGGTGTCTCGAGCCTTCCAGATTGGGGTCTGAAAGAACCCGCAACTGGTTGGTTTGACACGTTGAAGGATATGGCAGTGAACCGACAGCAGTGGCGTTCTTGTTGTCATTTCTTATTAAGCCAGAATGCTTGAAACGGTGTGCATGCAGAGTTCGATTGTGCACTCTGTGTTGACCGTAGAGGTTAACCTTCCTCTCCCTCCCTCAAAGTAGGTCTAATCCCTGTTCACCTTAAATTTTACCACCAACTTGGTATACACTGCGAGATTGGCAGCGATCAGTGAAGTTCGCCTCACTGTATTTCACTGTACCATGATGATAATGATGATGACGTTAAAAGGCATGATAAATCGGAGAAGCCTATCAGTTATCATGCATAAAAAATGGCACAACCAAAGTCATCTATGAAGTATCAGCATCTGTTGCAGTAGGCGGCCGTGATTCACACTGAAGTTTTGTTCAACACTATTGTAAAGAGTAACATGACCGTTGACCTTGAAATAATGTTTTTAATAAATGTTCATTTATTCCCTCATAAATAGTCGTATATTATTAATTCACTCGTGTTTTTACGATAGGATCTATCTGTTTTTTTTGTGAGTCGATAATTTAACCAAGTCAGGAATCTTTTCATTCTTCCACATGGAAACGAGGAGTTTCTAAACCGAAAAATTAATACCGAACTACTACGCTTGAAAACAAATTTACGGTCTGGAGAATGTCGCACTATAGATAGCGCATTTAAGTCATCTTGCAAAAGTATGTAGGAAAGACGATGAACCCAATGACAGTGGAAGCCAACTGAAAAGTGCCGTCAAATGAGCTGCTGATTGCGATTTCTCGTATTGTTGATCAGGAGAACAGATCGTATCGTAATTAATTCCTTCATTTTCGTGGATAAGTGAAGTATGACACTAAGGAAATCGTGTGAAGGCCTTTCGCATTTGAACCGTCTTGTTAAGTCGTGTTTGCCCTCTGGAATTACAGATCATTCATATACTCTTGATAGGGAAATCTGGGGTCTCCCGTGATCGAGAAAATCTGTTTTCTGTCTTCGTCAGTTTAGCAGAGTTTCTAGACGGATTCGCTGCTCCCTCTCGCATGGGGCAAATGATTCACCTATCCATGGGTCGAATTGCAAAAACTAGCGGATAAGCTGGAACGTAGACATACAAACAACAAAATTCCAAAAACAGCAAGAGCAAACTGACCTCTTGTTTCTTTTGGGTCAACGCGTCAATTGAATTCGTCGCAAACGAACGGCGTGCAAGGACCAGACGCTCTAAACCGCGCTTCGTTTGAGCGCGCCTCAGGACTGTTTCGTCCACGGTACCGGCCGTAACAAGACGAATTACCAAAACCGGCTGAGTTTGACCAATTCGGTGACATCTAGAACGCACAGAGACTCAGACAAAGGTTTCCGTAGATATGTTCAGGTAGAACAAGGATGACACAGAAAGACAGGAATCATTCAGCACTCCACAACAGAATGGGGAGTTGTTCATCTGGTTGCAGTTGGACATTTTATCGCAGAAAGGATCTTTGTAAGCAAACAAAACAAAACAAATAATACGCCTATTCTCTGGGGTGGTCACGCTTCAACCATAGTGCCGTAGCAAAGCAGTCAGTAAATTACAGAACCAATCACACCTGATTAGGCCTGTTCAACGAGTGCATGCATGAAATGCAAATCAGATTTTGTACGGAGCCGGTCATGCACCGTCTCGTCTAACCAGTTTAAGATATTACAAAACGTGTTTTCCTGAATCCACTTTTTGAACCCAACTGTAACCGGCAAAACTAGCTTAACATTTTGACAGCCTTGTTCATCCATGTCAGAGGCCTCCAAAAGCCTCAGTATGGTCGGGGGTGGGTGTCTAGGGTTGCGGCTGGTCACCCTGCCCTTCCACCTCGCGAAATTCTCCCATACAACCAAGCGTCTCGAATAGCCTCTGCTGAGTAAGCCCTACTCAATGTCTTCTCGTGGCGGAGGTGCTTCTCGCCAAAGTGAGAGGACGAGGACATCCGGGTTGATGGAACACTGGTAGTCCACCTAGGGGAGTTGGCCAAAAACCCTGATTCCAAATTAACCAAGAGGAGGCGTACCAACCACACACACCACCCTCCTCTGTGTGACAGTGGTCACCGGCTAGATTGGGCACCTTGGACGTTTGACCCCGTCCAAAGAGCGTACGATTCGATGAACTGGACACCGGCTCACAATAGATTGCGGTTTTCACACACCGCGTCGCTACCTCGCGGGTCATACTTCGGCCAGCGGAAGGCTCTGGGTGTGGATTCCTCAAAAAAATTCCCCCATATTGGCTTGGACAACCTGGTAGTATATCGCCCATGTGCAAATCATGGAGTGCTTTTCTTTTTCATAAAGATTATTGTACCATGATTTGTTTGGCATACAGTCTGGATTCAGATGTGTGTGAAAATA